AAGGGCAATAATATCCAGCCAGTCGTGCAGAAGGTGCTTGCGTGCTTCATTGCTGATAGCTGGTTTGCTCATGATATGAGCATGTATGGAAGCTGTTACTTGGTTCGGTGTTCATGGCCAGCTGACTCAGTCATGGCTCAACCGCAGCACCGGAATATGTCAAGCACGCAAGGTATCTCATTACAGGCAGTAGCAACGTAGTTGGTTGCATATTGTCGAAAAAAAAAATGGCGTGCTCGGTCTCAAACTGGATCATGCGGCAATGGCTGGCAATACTTAGTGGTTTAAAAATATACTGACCAAGCGTACCAGCAGATTCAACTACCTTCTTTGTCAGACCCAGGAATCACACACGGTTGTTCGTACCAGCCATGCGTAATAGTTGGACAAATCTGATATAATTATGGAGTTCTTAAGGGGGGGGGGTGTAAGGGGGGGGGGGTAAATTTGAGTAAATGGCGTGGACTAGGGAGCCCTAGGGAGGCCTAGGGTTTAAATACTGAATCCGGCTCAGCCCTCATCCGGCTTAACCGCTTGCCCGCCCAAAGCTCTTCGCCAAACACTCAAACGCACACACAAACACAAACACACACAGAGTCACACACACACACACACTAACACGAACGCGCACGCAAACGAGGGAGCCCTAGGGAGCCCTAGGGAGCCTTAGGGAAGCTTAGGGAAGCTTAGGGAAGCTTAGGGAAGCTTAGGGAAGCTTAGGGAAGCTTAGAAAGCCTAGGGAAGGGGGAGCCTTAGGGAAGCTTAGGGAATAGGGTTTTGAGGGGTTCCGAAAAACTTCGGTAAACCCTGTACTTGGGGCTCACTTTGGGGAACTCACTTTGAGGGGTTCCGAAAAGCTCTGGGGCCAACGACCTTAAATCTTGGAAGGCTGGGGAGCTTAAGGGAGGCTAAGAATCTTTTAGGGGCCTTTAGGGGTCCTTGGGGAGGGAGCACTAGGGTTTGCTAAGGAGCTCCAGGAAGTGCTAGGGAGCCTTGAGGCTTTCAAATTACTCCCCCCCCCTTACACCCCCCCCCCCCTTAAGAACTCCATAATATAAGCTCACACGAATCCAGCGACGACAGCGAGAAAATCAGCTTGAACACGTTTCCCGAAACCAGCTGGTTCTTTGCAAGGGCAGCCAGTTGGAAAGCAATGGAGAATGAGGCCGACACTTGGGATGCTTTCGGCGAACCCCGCGTGTTCGGAAACGTCCAAATGGTGTGTCACATAGGGAGCCCCATTTTACTTCAGACTGTGGCTTTGTTCTTCAGATGTTCTTTGGAAGGTCAAGGGGGGGTTAAAGGCTTGGGTGCCTGTGCTTGCGGTGGGAAAACCCAAGCTGGACCGTTTACGGAATGTTCCCGGAACTGCGGAATCCGGGCCTATCAACCCCAAAGCTTTGAGCTGAGAAAACGTGCTTCCTCTTATCCTCATACCAAAAAAAAGGGGGCTATTGCCCCCAACATTGGGTGAAATCCCTTTAAAGGTAGTTCGAGGGTCCAGGTACCCGTATAGTTGGCGACCCTGTTGGGGGGGTTCTCGCCCAACCAAAGCGATGCAAATTTATCCGGTAGCCCCAGATCCAGGTACAAAGTATCAAATCGTGGTCCAAATCGCCTTGGCCCTTCCCACTTCGACTCGCCAGCAAGCCCGGCGCCAGAGGTAGAAGGCGGCGTGGACCGCCGGCACGCTGCCGTCCGGCCTGGTGGGCATTTTCGGTTTCCCCCACGAATTCGAAGGTGCCAAACGGAGGGGGAAGTCGACTAAGGCACTCTCACATTCCATTAAGAGGATGATTGAGCCAAAGGGGGGTATACCCCAAAGAAGACTTCCCCAAAAATGTGTGTTCACGTTCATGGAACCCAACGTTGCGTCCCGCGAAGCAAATTGGTTTACTTGGATTCCGTTTGATCTGGGTTGCAATGTTGATTCTGAAGCCCACCCAAAAAAAAACACACACACACACACCAGGTCCAGGATACAGGAAAAGCTGGCATGTTCCGGGCCATCCACATGCGCCCCGGAAAGCAGCCTGGGTCAAAACAGGCTTCCACCTGTGAAATGATTCCAAATCAAGGTGTCTTTGTTTGGGAATTGGACCCAAAAACAAAGGATTTGGGTTGTCCGTTTGGTGTCCCTTTGAAAACAACCAAAAAGGGGTGCCATAGGGGTGCCCTCGCAAAAAAAAAAAAAAAAAAAAAAACTGAATCTACAAACCTGTCCAGATCAATCAAAAGGGCGCTCCTATTGGCACAAACCCCAGCTGTGAAATCACAAAACCCCCTGACTCGAAATTCTCACCATGGGAAACCAGCCATCGACAGGTGTTCCCTTTCAGGCAATGGAATCTCTTGGCCGGTGTTTGAAAGCCTCGGCCAGGGGATTCTTCTGATGGGTTGACTCCCTTGACAGCGAAACCGGACACAACTCATGCCTATTTCAGACCCAAAATAAATGTGGTGGCTGAGCCAGAAGGCACTGCAGGCTCAATTCCTTTGAACACCGCGTATGGACGGTTGCATGTCTGAACGAGCCCATCGCATTGGCCTGTTCGCTAATGGACAAGTTCTGCAAAACATTCCAGTTGGAATGGGTGAAAACCTATTTCCATGGGACAAACCACCAATCCCAACTGGCGCCAGGTGGATGGCGGCCATCCATAAGCTAGCGAGGACCACGACGTGGAGCTCACCGGAAGCCGAAGGAAGCTGGTTGAATTCAACGCCCATTTCGGGAACACGGCAACCATACTCCCCCCCCGCCCCCCCCCCCCGCAAAAGATGCCTCCCCAAGAGAGCCCATACCTAAACGGACGGAGTACTTAGCAAATGGTTGGTAGTTCTGGATTTGTGTTTGGATGAAACATGCACGGCTACTCAATCGAATTGAGGCCGAATAAGACAGATTGAGGCCAAACACGGAGAGACAGCTCAAGCATCGCTTCAAGTCTCGCCCGCCTGATGCATTCTGGGCTGGACTCAGGCTCGTTCGCCTTCGCGAAGCGAACGGGCGATTAACCCTCAGTCAACTCTCAGTGAACGCAGGGAAGTGATAACCCCAAGCATCATTGAACCCTCCATTGAAGGGGCCAGGACCTCCATTGAAAGGTTTTGGACCTCAAAAAAGGCCTTCTTAGGGCAAGATGCTTAGGGAAGTAATTCAGGCAAGCAATCAATGGACAAATTGCCAAAAGCCATGGGTTTTGGCGGAATAACACTCAAATGCCTTGAAGCACATCATCTCCCCCGTCTCTATTGGCGTTTGCTTCACTCGAGGTCTGGATCCTTTTGAGATCTTTTTTTTCACCAGGCCGAAGGAATTCCAAGGGAACTCTGGGGTGGAACAAATACAAGCTCGTCCAGTGATGGATTTCCTTTAAAACCAACGGGGTTGGAACATGCAACATACTAATAAGCAAATGGAACCCTCCTCTCCAAGAACCTTAAAAAAGACAGGTGCAAACGAAAAACCTGGTTTTGAACCTGTTGCTTGCCCAACAGGTAAATGGGAATCCAAACCAAGGGAAGCTGAACCCTGTATAAAATGCCACTAGGGTCGACTGACATGCACCGCCCCTTGGTTTTAACTCAAGATTGACCAGCGATGTGCTCTGGCCATGGCGACTATTTGAACACCCCCTGTGACTGAAGCCCTGTTGCCCGTCACTTTCTCTCAGGGCAGCTCTGCCTTGTTTTTGTTCGGCTTGCGGGAGGCTGCACCTCCAACATAACAGGCCCCCTACTTGAACGGAGGATCTTTGCGGTACGTCATTTAAGCGGAAGCAGTGACCTTGGGCAAGCAGAAGGGGGCTTACAACCAAGCCGGGCTTCCGAATATAAGCTATCCACGCGGACACGGCACTTGCCATGGTAAGCTGGTTGAACGCATGGTTGCTAGCCTTCTCTCTACCAAGGCCCTTTTACTTTGAAAGGTTCTCCAAAATAACCGGGTTCTTCTCGGAGAAACCCGGTTTTCTGAAGAATATTGTAACATACAAACGTACGGGTTTTGTATGGGTTTTGTATGGGCGTTTTGTTTTAAAGTAAAACCGGGTGGTTGGATGGAAAACCGTAAACCCCCACACCACCAATCCAAACCCATGAATGAAGGGTCTGAAGGATTACTCACCACTCTGTCGCAAACCAATCGCAAATAGACCTCGCCTCGGCGAAATAAACCTGAGTTCGGCTTACTTAGGCTTCTTGATCCCACCCCCATCCACCTGGGTCGTCGTTTCCTCGCCACACCTGGCTGCGGTCCCAATTTTTGAAGCGATGGAACAGGGTTGGGCGCGAGGGCTCTGGCTCTTCGGAGTTTTCAGAACATTGATCAACGCTTTCCCACAAA